TGGCAGCAGGAAAGCAGGCCCTGAGTTAGTCCCTGTCCTGAAGAGCGAGAATCTGAAGAATGAGGAGCAGGAGGATCAGATACTTTTAGAAGAGGGGGAGCTCTCGAGAAGGAGGTGTGTGCTGTTTTCCAAAGTATTGCACTTGCCAAGGCCAGTGGTACTTTGGGCCCTCCAAAGAGTGCTCTGCTGTGCTTGTGGGCCAGGCGTGGGAAGAAGAGGCAGGGAGAGCCAGGGCACGAGGCGGGTCTTGGTGGGGCAAGAGCCGCAGGCAGGAAGCGAGAGAAAGGGCTCATCTGAGCCCTGAGAAGGGGCTGTGCTCAGCGCTCCTGAGGACAAGCAGCAACCCCTGGTGGGCACCCTAGGGCCCACCCCGGGAGTCTAAGAGCTTCCTCCCCCTGGATGCGGGGCACGAGGGCCATCTTCGTAGAGCAAGAGCATCAGGCACCTGGCCAGCGTGGCCCAGAGGGGCCCTGGCCAGGGGCCGTGCTCAGCGCTGCAAAGGAAGGCAAAAAGCCCCCAGAGGCCAGCGCCAATGTGCCCCAGGGAAAATTCCTTCCTGACGCCAGCAATGGTGATCAGCTACTCCCTGAGCAGGTGAGCAAGACCTGCCTCCGCATCCCACAGGCTGGTCACGTCTCCCAGGAGATGCCCAAGCCCTGTTCTCCCTCAGCCTGGAGCCATCTCAGGGGCTTCCAGGAGTGGTCAAATGCCCCCACCCTGATCGACCTCGGGGGCAAGAATTTTTGCTGTGTCTGTCTAGCAGGTGCTCCAAAGCACCGGGAGCCCTGGCAACATCCCCGCAGCCATCCCATTTCTTACGGCTGCTGCCCCTGGCTCCGCAGGGGAGGAGGCTGGCGAGCTCTGCAGTGCTCCTCGCGGCGGCACTCCCTGGGGCTGTGACACGGGACAGCACCGTGACATGGAGGTGGCACTGTGACAGCACTGTGACATGGGGGTGGCACTGTGACACGGGTGTGGCTCTGTGACATTGGGACGGCACTGTGACATGGGGACGGCACTGTTACTTTCGGGAATCAGTGACATGGGGTTGGCACTGTGACATGGGGGCGGTACAGTATACTTGCGATGCTTGTTAACTATGTGGTGAAGATGTTGTTTTGCCTTCTCTGTAAGTACTTTGGGTGATGTCAGGGAAGGATTTTTTCACAAAACATCCACCAAGCTATGCAGATCATCATGAGTTAGGCCCACGACGGCTGTATCTAATTTATGGTTTCCAACAGCGACTGTAAATCTTTTAAAGTCTTAACAGCAGTTTTAAGTTGCTGCAGGACAACACACACAGGTGATTCGGTTCACAAGGTCAGTGTCAGGGGGGGTTTCAGGGTGGGTTGTGCTACAGTGGTGATTAAGACAAATTTGATCCCATTTGAGTTCCTCATGGAGTCATACAGTCATGACCCCAAAATGCAATAGGGGTTTCCAATATAAATGGATGAATATTTGTTACCCAGTTTTCTGGGCCTCTTACATGAACGAGATCCTTGCTGTAAATTGCTACAGCATGACACCAACCCTGAAAAACATCTGAGGTACTGGAGCTAACGGCCAATCTGATCAGATATTACGGTCACATCTGCACCAGGGTCTAAAATGCCTGTCAGCTCGACAGATTTTTTTTTTTTTTTTTTTTTTTTTTTTTTTTT